AACTTTACTGTTATTTAATATACATTATATTTTCTGATCCTATTTATAAAATAGAAAAGACATTTTTTAATTCTATTTATAGAGCAGTAAAAAAAATTTATACGGATGTACAGTTTTACGGTTCATTTATTATTATGTTTATTTTATTTATATAAGGTTTAATATATATTAAATAAGAATAAAGTTAAAAAGTTATTAAATTTTAAATGAGAGTTAATGAAGTTTAAAGTTTTTTTTTTGTCTTTATAAAATATGTTAGAGGCTAGGACTAAAGTGATACCTCATGGGAATAAAATTAACATAATAATAAATGAAAAGTAGAATTATACACTTATATGAAAAATGACTCTCTTTATCCTAGAAATAAGACCAAATGAGTTTTCCAATAATTACATTGTGCCGTGTATCTTATTTTTCACGGCAAAATATTATCGAAAATAATTGACGTAATGGTTATAAAAATTTTCACTCAAATATCTGTATATTGAAAAATATACAAGATGTGACAATTTTGTTTAGAGATAGTATCTGAATTTCAATCCTGGGATGAACGAAAAATCTAAGATACTAGAGTTTGAGTTGCAGTCCTAAGTCTCAAAGAACAAGATTTTATGGTGTGATGGCAAGAAAAAATAAATATTCAAATGTCTATTGATTACTACTACTCAAGTATTTCAGGAATACAAGATTTGTTAAGGTTGCTATTGTTAGTTTTTAATTCATAGAGCGGTGGAAAGAGTCAGGATTCATCAGTTACCGTTATGAATGAAATAAAGTTGGTAGATTATTAAGATGGTGAAAACTTTGGAAGCCAAAAAAATATCAATATTTCTGATAATTTTCATAATAATCGTTCACTTTTCAGATGTTGTGCACGCAGGTGACAAGAAAAAAAACGTCTGATATAATAATAAGAAGCCTGTGTAGTAATTAATTAATTAATTAATTAATTGACGACATGAGTATTTTCTTTTTTGGGTGACAACGACATGAATACTTATATTTTAGCCCAATCACATATTGGGACAATCCTAAAATTTCATCGTCCGTAGTAAAAAAGTGATAAACCACGTACCCCGTTTAAAAAAAAAAAAGTGATAAACAATACTAAAACTTTGAATCTTTCTTTTTTGAGGGGGGGGGGGATTTTGTATCTTTTCAAAAAAAAAAAAACTTATAAATTAATGTGCCTCCAAAATGGACCTTAAAGTCCAGACACGCAACGAGGTCCGGCTCTTATTTGACCTTTGCGTGGCCCCTCTTGTCTGATTTTCATCTCCTTTTAAAGGCGCCATGCATATCTAACACTTTGGAGGATTGAAATCCAACTGCACCCCAATTTTATTACCAAAAAAAAAAAAGTAACATAAAATAATATATATTAATTATTCTAAATAAGTCATGTCACATTTATTATAATTAACTAATTTATTATATTAATTAACATTTGCAGTATCATTAGAACATGCAAGATATCTTCAATTATTAAACATAAATACTACCTCCGGTCCTTAATATAAGACTTTGTTAGACTTTTATTTTGATCATAAATATAAGACCTCAATCCACTTTGTCTCTCGTATTTATACATTTTTTTCAAGGTAGTCTTTCTAATAATTGTAGTTCTAGCCAATATAGTTGATTAATAAGAATATTTTAGGAAAGACAACGCCTATTTATTACAAATAACTAACTTAACTTCTTTCTTTAATCTCTTCAAATTAGTCAACTGGATCTTATAATTAAGACCGGAGCTAGTATTATGGATATAAGAATAGCTTCCATGGTTATACCACCGCATCTGCGCGTCATAAAGTACAATTAAGACACAAGTCAATGGTGACCTAAGTAGCGTGCCAAGCACTTTTAACTCTCAAGCCTCATACGTATAATTTTTTTTTTTGGATTGGATCTCATACGTATAATTTTTAATATCTGAAAAAGCTTCAAAATTTTTCCGAGTTCATCCATTATATTTCTTCCAATTCTTAATATAAGAGTTAGGTAACTAACTTATAAATATTAAGTAAATTAATTAAATTATTTATTTATAATAAGTATATGGTACCTTTCCTAGAATATTTTTATTAACCTTGTGTATTTGAATCAACCCTCCATTAGCATGTGTAATGATCATAAAAATTATTTAAAAACAAAATAAATAAATATTAAAGACTTATATTTAGAATAAAATTGAATCTCTACTTTTATATTAAAAATCAGGTAGTATTAAATAAATACATCATCCTACGGATGTTTTGTCCCTTGTCACCCTCACACACAACGTGGGAACAAAGAGAGACATGAATATTTATATATATTTGCTAAACTAATGCACAGCATGTGTAGGTAGCTAGGTGAAAATTAAATATGCGAATATGCATTTCCATGACATATGAAGCTGGTCACAAATTGGTAATATTTAAAGGGCGTGAAATAATTGAGGTGGATTATATTGAGGAATCTTGTAAGTAATCTAATCAACTAATAAACCACACGTAGCGAGGACAAGAAAAATCTGTTTTCTTGCTCAAACCCCAGGAAAAAACCATTTTCCAATTCCTACCCTTTATCAAGTGAGCCTCCTCTTCCCGCTCATTCTGATCCCCATCTGATTACATCGAATCAGTTTTAAATGTGCCTGTTTTATATCGTGTTTTTTATAGAGTCCGTCAGATTTTTAATATAAGACTCAGTTGATCAATTTAAATATATTTAAAAGATTATTAAATTACTTTAAAGCGTTTATATTTATCATTTTTCTTCAAACTAATTTGCTTTACTTATTGACACATAATCTAATGATAGACATAAGTATTTTAAAAGAATCATATAACACATGTTATAATTAAGTAATTTAATAACTTTTCTAATGTCTTCAAATTAGTCAATTGGGTATATTAAGGATTGGATATAGTACTATATTTTTAAGATTATTTATTTTATATAACTGTATTTAATTTAATTTTTAATTTTTAATTTGACTCCTATGATTTTAAAATTGTAATTAGATATTCATGATAATAAAAAATTATCAATGTTATTTTATCACATGCGAATTTATTATATTTTATTATACATATTTTTATCAATTTTATTTATCATTTGAAGTCATGCGTATTTTAAGGGTGTTAAGATAATATATACAGGTACAAACTTACCTTTGTTTGATAAAATTTAGGGCCACTCCTTTTTCTATCAATTCCGTCGGACAAAAATAATGTGCAAATAAATATTTCAATGATGCTTAACAAATATTTACACATTTAAAACGAAAAAACCATACAATTATAAATTGCAAAAAAATTCTGTTTCCAAAATTTAAATTATAAAAATTAGATTAAGGTCTAAATAATATATCAAAGCGTAGGGCTTCTTGTTAATTTCTAGCATATTGAAGGTGCCATGCCTGGGCCGTCTTGGAGGCGCCGCCCCAGCTTGTCCACATGTATAAAAACAAGAAGCCAGTCAATTAATTATAATTTAATTAAAATAGTAATTATTTTTCCATAAAAATAAAATAATACAAACTCCGGTTATGATTATGTGTACGTACGTACCTACTTAATTAGTAAATTAGCGAGTTTGGCAATTATGTGTAAACATAACGTACGACATCAAATACTACGTATAATGTAAAAGATCAATTATTGGTGCTCAAGCGTGTTGAAGCTTTAGGAGTGCAATAAGCAGGGGCCATTCAAATAAAGCATAGGATTCTTAATCTTCCTTTTTAATTCACATGTGGTTTGTCTTTTGTCGGTTTACCTAATCACCTGTGAATTCATTGGCTAACTCACCAAAAAAAAAAAAAAAAGAGTCACATTACACAGAACCTTCCCCACTATCAATCCCAACCCTCCCCAGGTGGTTCGGCTCGGAGGTCGGAGGACATGTGGGCCTCTGCAAGACGCTGAAACCCTAGGGTCAAAAGAAGGGAAGAATATGAAACTAAACAGAAAAAATGACTTTAAACTTTTAAAAAATAAATATAATTACCAAAAATTCTCACAAAGTAAGTATTATCTGAGTCTTTTTGGTAATAACATTAAACTTATTTTCCCAACCAAACATCTCTGTGTTTATATATACTCATCCGATTCTTAATGTAAGATCCAATTGTTTAGTTAGTTTTGGTCCTAAATATAAGACCTATTTCTTATATTTATCAATTTTCTTCAAATTATCCTTATGAATACTTCCTTAATTATAATCAAGTGAAAAAAGAAAAGAGGTATTAAAAAAGATGATTATAATGTTTTAGAAAAAATATGTCACATTTTTTATAAATAATTAACTTATCTAACTTTTTTAATCTAATTAAATTAGTTAAATAGCTCTTGTATTAAGGATCGAAAGAGTATATATATATATATATATGAGTAGGGCTACATGTTCAAGAATTTATCGGGGCTTCCGTTTAAAATTCTCTCGAGCGGGCAATGAGGAGCAGCAAGTGCAGCATCTGGCAGAAGGCATATCGTTCTTTTGAAAAAGGCTTCATTCCCACTTATCTATTGGCTATTGGCTATTTATATTTATGATATATGTGTACCCTTTGATTTTGATCGGCTTGGAATTTTTTCTCTCTTGCGCGGGGCCATATATTAACAGTGATCATCACTAAAGCTAAACGCTCAGATCACTCACTGGTAAATATGGAAAAAGTCTGTCTTCTCAATCAGCTCATGCACAGAAAAAAGGAGAAATAAACAACTTCAGCTTCTAAAAGTCTCTTCTCAACTGATTAAAACCTAGGTCTCCTCGTCTACGAGATATTCTGGTTATCTGCTTATCTTTATTATTCTTATTTTTCACTCTGGCATTTAATGAAGTCATATATATGTCATGTCACCAAAACATTTGACTCAGTAGTTTGATTTCATTACTGACACTAACTAACTTTATTGAATGAAGTGGTTAAAAAAGCTACTTGACAAGGATAAACTCAAGCAAGTTACGATCTTGCTCCTACAAGGTTGAGAATTAGGAACGCAGAATAACAAACAGAAGCTGATTAAGATGTCATTTTATTGATTCACACTAGTTTATACAAATAGTTTTATAGAGTTCAGTAGTTCTAGCTCTAGCTCTAGCTAATCTGCAAACAACTAAAACTGAAAGAGAAGGTCTAGACTATAAATAAGAGAGCTACAGAAGATAGCAGATCAGTCAGCTAGCTCTTTCAACATGGCGTATGAACACCGTATCCAAATCTGGAGGAGTGAAGAACTTGTTAACGCCACGGCGATACTTGCACTTGAAAGAAGACGCCGGCGGCTTTGGCTTCCGAGGAGCCGGCGGGCAAGTGGAAGGCGGTGGGATTCTGGACTCTTCCCCTGTCGGCGTCGTCAGACACTCCTCCTTCTCGTCGTCATCCTCGCGATCTTTCTCGGCCGTGTAAATTGGCTTCAACGGCCCTCGTAAACTGATTCCGGCGATGACCCATTTTTTGTTACTAGCATTAGACGTCGACGACGACGACGACGACTCAAAGCCTCCTTCCACGACCTGTGCCTTCTCAGAGAAACCCATATTTATAAACCAGAAAAACAAAAAACTGTTTCAAGATGGTGTATATATATAAAAATGGCAGGGGAATAGGGAATAAAGATGGCTTTTTTTAAGCGGAAAAAAGGACTTTGTTGCTTTATCTTTTTCTGGGTATGGAGGGAATAAGAATAAGAGATGAAGCCAGTAGGAAAGTGCAGAAGAAAAGGGGCTTTGGGGCTGGTTCAAAATTAAAGGATCAAAGAGTGTATATGAAGATTGTTTGAGGCAGAGGGAACAGTGAAAGAGATTGGAGAGAATTGTAAGATACGGTCATAAATGAAGAATGTGAAGAAGGTGAGGTTTGAGATGGTGATTGTTATAAGGCCAATTGGGAAGAGGAGGAGAGAGAGAGAGAACCCGAGGAAACTCGTGAGTTGCTGACAAAGATATAGAAAACCAGGCAGGAGAGACGGTGGAGGAAGAGGGTGCCCGAGAAAAGAGCTGACCGACGGGCAAGAGAGAGAGTGGGGGAGACATGAATTTTGGCGCCAAGTTCACAGGGTGTTTGGGATCGTAAACATATCAAGTCAGTCCTAAGAATGTAGGCTAAAGTCTTTTGCTTTTAGAATTGTTCTTCCTTTTTTGAGGATGCCACATGTTTTTTTTTTTTGTTGTTGATATTTTCTGCAACCTACCACAAAAGAATTATCTAAGTTGACGAATATTTAACTAAACTTACATTCACCCATAAAATCTGGGGGGTTATATGTACGATTTACCTTTTTGGCCAAAAAAATGTACGATTCACCTTAAAATTATACATTTAATTATAAAATGATACATTTATCATATTTTTATTGAAAAGCGGATTAAGAATTAAATCATTCATTGTGGATAATTTTATATACTACATTTAATTATAAAATGATACATTTAAGGACCGGAGGTAGTACCTTACAACATTTAACATCTTTTTTAAGTAATTTTTAAATATAAAATTGCGTGTTCGCCTCTTTATAAATGTGTCCTATGGGCATACTCTTTTGTTGAATAATAAAAAGTCATGCCTTCCATTATCAATAAAAGATAATGGCCTATACCATTAAATCAAATTGAGCTGATAACACATATCATGTTGTTAGTATAAATTTTGATGACAAAGATATAAAAATATACTTGCATTTCTTTGTTTTCCTTTAAAAATACTCTATGTTCCATACATTACATGAAAATTCTATATTATTTATGAATATGAATAATGAGATTATCAAAATTTTTATGTTATACCATAGGTAGATGATAAATTAAATTATTTACTTTGACCTTTTTTAGCTATAGAAATACTTTTGTACAGACTAATTTATTTAGGAAAAAAACTGTTTTTTAATCCTTGAACCTTGATCAGTTTAAGCCAAGATGCTAATAATTTCTCCATTTAAGAATCAGTTTGGAATTGTGAGTAATTTTGGTCATTACCACTTGCTCTTATCAAACATTATTATCACAATAGTAACATAAGCAGCGTGTCTTTTTTAGGAATCTTAACCAAAGTTGAGCAAAATTTTAAGGACTAATTTCTTAATGAAAGTATAGGGTCCTTGACACAACTTTAAGGACCAAAATTATATTTTCCCAACTTGTTATTCTATAAATTAATTCATATATTCACTAACTTTTAGTTTTGTGATGAGATATCCATTTAATAATTAAGTAATAGTTTGTTTAAATATTAATTTTAAAGCTTTAAATAATCAAAATAAAGGAACGTATCAACATCTCCAATTAAGTGATGTGTTAATATTCTCTTGATTTTTAGAGGGGGAGGTCTAATGTTTTTCCCCATAAACTCAACACTAGGGATTTTCTTAAATTAAGTTTCTTATTTTTAATAAACTTTTCGGATTTTCTTAAATTAAGCTTCCTATTTTAAAAAATCATGATGTTTTCAATTGAAATAGAAAAATTTTGGTCCAGCCCTGTTCTTTAATAACTAAACGCCTTTGCTATTCATAGTCATTTTTAAAATATAAGGCCCTTAATTTTTTATAATTTGTCCCATCAAAATTTTGAAAAGCAACCCGTTTATTTCTGGAGCAAAAAAGCTATACAACACCAAGCCATATAGGGATTAAAAAAAAAACTTATTAGGAAGAGTGAAAAGCTCATTACACGTGGCATCTATAAATAGGTTCCTATTCTATAGTCATTAACCATCCTTGGTAATTTTCCGCATTCATGTCTCATTGTGAATCCCATGTTTGTGCCTTCTGTTTCCTTTTATCCCCTCACTTTTAAGGTGGATTATTTAATTTCCTGCTTCCATGTCTTATTATGTATCTGTTTTCCTCATAGGTGCATGAATGGAACCTTTTTTTTTTAAAAAAAAAAAACAAATTTACAAGATATGGTAAGATATGGGATTAGCTGGAGGATTTTGAAATACAATCGTCAAATGGGTTGTTTTACAATGAAAATCCAAATTCAAAATCCTATTTCACTTTGAATTATCATCTTCAAATTATTTTTTTAGCCTCAGTCTTAAAGCACTTGAATTCTCTCACTTGTTTCACTTCTTATCCTGCTAGAATTGCAATAAAGGGAACAGAGGTTTAAGACATGCTTGATTATATCTGTTTAATTTTCTCATAATAATATCACTTTCAAATTAGTGGAAAATGATATCACCATGCGAAATCAATGCTTGGAGTTATATAGTTTTTTCTTCTCTCTTTCTTAAATATCTGAATGATTTGATGCAATATAAATGGACACCTCACATTTATATAATATTCAACGTGTTGTCTTTTAGACTTTTACACATTTTTCCCTGAGAGACGCACAGTTTCAAAATGACATCCTCTGACATGAGCAATTCAAGAAAGTCATCATCATGCCCGGCTTGTTACTATGTTAGGGTATTATTTAGCAGAGCTATATGAGAAATTTCCAGGCCATTTTCTTTTCCTAAAGAAATGAAATTTCTTTCTTAATAAATGGATGAAACATAAGTCATCAGTAATGTAATATCGATATCAGACAATTCAACTGTGTCCGTGTGGATGAGAAAGAAAGAAAGAAAGGAGGCGAAAACAAACAAGAAACAGCTGTAGGCTTCAAAGCTACTTTTCTTTCTTTTTATTTGAATGTCCCATGTTCCGTTACTTTTTATCTTGATCCCCACGTCTTTACAACTTGGAAAAGCCAGTACTGCTGGGAAACTCTGGAATTTGTCCTTCCATTTTCTAGATGCATGACTATAATGATTGAAAGTTATGGATCCGTATGTTTAACAAGTTGTATACTATTCACAAATGTCTTTATAATACATAGGAAACATAAGAAGCTGTAGTAAAACAATCTCCATACTTCTCACGGATTTAAGGTGAATCATTCTGTTTATTGCATACTGATATACTGATTTGTTATAATCAGGCTCCACATTAATCAAAAGCAAACTCTTCTCCGTCTTTGTGGATTTTTCCATTGTTACGTATAATGATGTCCATGGGCCAGGTCAGGTTGAGTTTGGCCTAGAACCCTAGTTTTAAAAGTTGAAGTTGACATTCAGAATTGGTTATCTCCAGTAAAGGAAAGGTAGATTCTCTGTGCAGAAGATGCCACGATTCTTTTGAAGGGTGGGGATTGACAGCTCACAGAAACACATAAATATGAATCAAATATAAACTCAAGGTGAACTGATTACATCCTTGAATAACCTCTATGGTCTTCATATTGCTCCATGAACTCATCATTGAATTTTTTGAAACTATCCATAATAGCAGGCATGTCTTCCTCAGCTGGTAAAATAGTTGTCCTCAAATGGAAAGCCCTATATGCAGAAAGTTTCAGGCATTAAAAGTCGAATAACAGAGGAATATCATTTTTATTATCGCTCTAAAGAGACGCATCAAAGAAGAAATATAAACACTTGGATAGAAAAATAAATTATCAGGTCATTACCCTTCTTTCTGTCCAAATCCTGAACCAGGAACAGTGGATATGCCGGTGGCTTCTAAAAGCTTGAGACAATAAAAAACATCAGGGGCCTTTCCAGCTTGTTTAGCAGCCTCTATTGCTCTGGAAGGCAATCGTATTTGAGGGAAGGAATACATAGCACCTGAAACACCAGTTGATTGATGATCAATGGATTACCCCGGACACGATTTTAGAACATACCAGAAGTGAAAGGAAATATCGCATTCCACAGAAAAGTTATATTGAAGTGTATCACCTTCTGTAAAATTACATACAACGTTCCTGCAGCTGTTGAATCCATCAGTCATTAATCTCGCTCTTCTCCTCAGTGATTCGAGTACTCCTTTGCTGTATATAACAGAAGAATTGTTGATTTAGATGGATGGAATGTGAGGGAGGTTGTACACTAATCATTTTCATGTATCACCAATCAAGAAAACCACAGCTAACTAAAATGAATTTTGACACCCAGCAACTGGGTCTTATTATTATTACCTTTCCCTAACAAATTGTTCATAGGTTATATCTCCAGGTTTGGGTGGATTCACCATCAGCCCCATCTGTACAACAAGGAAGACGACAAATGAGATTATAGTTCCAACAAATGAGTTCATAAAAAAATGTCATATCAGAAAACATTCAATCCAACTTACAAATATCTGTGCTGGAACATTTGGACTGAGGGAGATTGACGCAACTTTGTAGATCTCATCAACTGTCTGCATAAGAAAGTGAGAGTTCAAGTAAAAAACCAACCGAGAGTATACAAGGGTAAAGAACTGAAGCATCACAGCAACTTAGTTTCGTGAAATAACATTTCACGTGGCACTGACAGATGTATTTCTGGTCAATATCACAGGCAACATTGTTAACAACGTAAAATTTGGAGAAATTAGAGTCACTGAAGTTTAAAAATAATAATAATATTCAGGCCTTTCTCGATTATGTTTCCACCACTCCATGTTCCAACTCAAGTTCCTCAGTAACTTCAACGGACTTGCCAAGGCATACCTCTGGAGGAATGTTAGTCATCTCAAAATATCCACCCCTCTGTCCACATTCACCCCAATATCCTTTTGACACTGTGTGAAAAGAAACAAGCTGGAGTTCCTTGCTTATTGGTGGCCCCATATCCATCAAAACCTATTTGAGGAGGGCAAAAATATAGTATTAGATGTTAAGGTCAGTGGAAAAACTGCAAATCAGTGGAACAACAAAGAATACCTTTTTAGCACTGATAAACGGTCGTTCATCTTGATATATGTTCTGCTGGTAAACCTCATCTCCAAGCAATACTAGATTTTCTTGAAAACAGTAACGCAGAACCTCTCTTAAATTTGCTTCACTAAGGCATTGACCAGTAGGGTTTCCGGGATTTATGATCACCATTGCTCTTACCTGATCATATTTCAGTTTATAAGAAACTGGATAGCTTTCTTTAGATAAAGTCAAAGCATGAAGAGTTAATAAGTGATCTAGAAAATGAAATTGACAAATCAGAAGAGGATTGATTTTTGAAAGTCATATACATCACATGGGATAAAAAATTTTTGGAAAATAGAAGTCCCGCATCCACAAAGTAGCCAGAAAGATTAGAGTACATAAACTCGTGGCAATCCTAATAAAGTGGCTTAAGCTATCTTGTTGATTTGGCCAAGCCACAAGCTCATACAAAATTGATATGGTATGAAAACCTATCGATCACAAGATTCAAGAAACGACATTAAGAAAGATGAAGGGTATGTATATAATAGGCTTGCAGTAGTCCTAACAAACTAGTTTAAGCTATTCCGGTGACAGACGAACCCATGCAAAGCTCCTCATATGAAACCAATGTCCACTTCATCCAAGCTTAAAGCATCTAATTCTGTAGCTTTAAATTAACAGAATGGTTTACATCATGTTAGCCAAATCAAAGACATACTGTTATTCCTCTATAACGAGCCTGAGAAACTGACTGGCGAATTTCATTAATATCAAGGCCCCAGTTTGCTGTCTCTTCAAGATAGTACGGTACCAGCGTACCACCATAGAGAGCAATTGTTGCTGAGTAGAGTGGATATTGTGGAACAGGAACCAAAACCTGGAAATAAGTAAGTGTTAAAAATAATTTTGATATTGAACTTGGAAGACAGTAGACTGGGGCACCGAGAAGGAAAAGGCTAGATTACCCCATCCCCTGGGCCTCGGATGATGGTTTGTAAAATCTGCATCACAGCCTTGCTGGCACCATCAGTGAGATATATGAGCTCTGGATCACTGTAAATGGAGAAAGAATCAATTAATCTCTCACCAAACAGCTTGTAAACTAACCTTAAGAGACCCTATAAAACATTTAACAACAATATATTGAGAAAATAAATAATGCACAATGAATCATAAATACCTTGGATAACCATCACGTCTTTGTATGAACTCAGCCACCTCTTTCCTTATTGCTGGTATGCCTCTAGAGTCACTGTAAGCACCTACAAGATATATCATTAGTTTTGGAGTCGTTAGTGGAGAGATTCAATATCACAGACAAGCGTGACCTCCTCAATCTTTTTCCAAGAAGAAGAATATGGTAGCAGGGAGAAAGATTTGCAGATTAAAAGAAGATACTGCTACACCTAAAGGCTTCTCAGTTCTAAGTTAGAACGCAGTTCTGCAATGGTGAAGGTTCATTGGGATGGAAGGAATTTTTGTGATACAAATGTTACTGTCTTCATTTTCATGTATAATTTTAATATGGATTTCAAGTGGATGAAAACTAATTATAAGCTTAAAACTTGCTCAACCAATATATCTGCTAACATTATTTAGGGAAACATGCTCACTGGGGAAAGTTCAGTTTGATGTTTGCTTTGCTACAGGATCTTGGGCAAGAAATTTACAGAGGGAAAAAAAAAGAGAGACCCAGCAGACAGAAATAAATGCTACATTAGAACTACATTAAGTCTATAGTTCATACCAAAAACACCAGGAACTTTAAGAGTGAATTGAGTTATTAATATTCAGTTCAATTGCAATTTCTCATTTTCTTTGAACGCAACAATCTCCAGCTTCCTACTTGGAAAACTACTATCAACAAACTAGACATTAAGCAGCTGACAACTCTCTAATTATTATTATTTTGGTGATCAGACAACTCTCTAATTAATTAATATAGAAAATACAACTTAGCATATCAAAGGCCAGCTTAAATCATTAGAATCAGGACTACAAGCTAGTCTATATAGTGACACCCACCGGAGACTTAGACGAGGATAGATTGGGAATTAAGGAGTGCTATACTTTAAAGGAGAATCAAAATATGTCAAACTTGGCCACATTATCTTCACTCTGTGATTCAGTATAAAGCATTAAATATAGTAGCAACATACCAAGACCACCCGGGGTCATTGAAAGATAATGCTTAGCTCTGGCAATTGCATCAGCAGGGAACAGAAGGTCCACATTAGGATCATCTAGGAGAAACGGAGCCTGGCACAAAGCAACAACCTGCAGCAGAAAAATTGACAAGGCTCAACATTATCAACAAATGCAATAGCTACACATTCTAACAATTAAATCACACAAAGAGGATGTTTCAATCTTGAATTTAAATATGTTAAAAGACAGGGCCAAATAAAAATCTAGGTAGCAATGTAAACCTGGCGAGGAAAAGTCAGCGGTCTCTGCCCCAGAGCGTGTGGATTACCAACATTTGTGAATATAATCTGTCAGAAATTAAACAAAAATGAGTTTGTGGACTGTAGCTGGGAGCAGAAATATAGATAAACAGATAATAACATGAAAGGAAATATGTGTGTCTGGGTCAATTTTTCCCCACGTTTATGTTTCTGCATCTACATTGGTAGGGTTTGCGAACTGACAATACAGACAATTAGATTCTATTTACATGCAAGCATATAGGTAACAGAACAAATTCTCTTTACAACTCCATCTTTATGTAAATGAAAGTTGACAATATATAAAAGATGATCATATTTTATCTGAAGCAGAAAAGAATTCTGACAGGAACAACTAATTTGACTAATGTGATATTACCTCTGGTCCTTGATATAAAAGTTAGTTGACTAATTTGAGTAGATTAAGGAAGTTTGTAAAATTAGTTAGTTGTAATAAATATATGTTATCTTCCCTAGAATACCCTTGCTAATAATGTGTATTAACTAGAACTACCATTTAATGAAACATTTAACATTAGCAACTATTATAAGGGCTACTTGGAAAAAGATAGATAAATATGAAAAACAAAGTGGATCGTGGTCTTATAGAACCGGAGGTAGTACTCCCCCCCCCCCCCCAGTTGGATACATCAGGAGGGTTTGAACTCTTGACCTCTAACCTGCACCCCACCCTACTCTTACCACTTAAGCTAAACCCAGGTGACTTACAGATGTGATACTTTTAACGAGTGACAATTAGGAAACTAATTCTACCAACTAGACATTTAGGCCATCTAAGAACAATAACTGAATATCGTGAAGTCAAAAAAAATGTAAGCATGTAGCCACGTCAGAAAAGGTTGATGATTTTCATCATAAAAGCATGTCAACATGCTTAACTAAGTGGCCGGACTGCTCTGATAAAAATGAGAATCTATGAATAGTTAGCATTCAGGACCAATTTAATTCCACAACCAATGTGTGTGAGTTCTATGTAATTTCTGCTTAAGCCCTAGAAAAGATAACAAACTACCTTCTTTCCTTCCTTTTGAAGCTCAGAAGCTCGAAGGTATAATTCACCTCTAACAGCATATTGAGCCTTCTTCACATTTTCATTTATTGACTCGTAGTCTAAGGGTTTTGGAGGCATGGTGAAGAAGACAAAGAGCCAAAATTAAGAAACAAGTTAAGCCAATCACCAACCTGAATAATTCAAAGAAAAGAAGGAATGAGACCCGTATCGTATCGACTATTGACTCATGAAAAATAACCACATATTCTTTCACATGCAAAATGTCGTTAAGTGGGATCATAGGAATGCTGCGGCAATCTTATTGATCCTTCATATTTGGATACTAGAACCATGTTAATGAATTAATTAAACACTGAAAGGCAAGATATAGATACTCGCGATTAGACTCATTGATTTCCATCCGCTTTCAAAATCATGGTGTTATCAAAAATCACATATCAGGTATTCTAAGGCAAATAGCACACTCAATACGTAGAAAGAAATGCAGCAGCGACAAATTTGCCACAACAGAGAGATAACAGAGCTAAACCAAATTAATAGAGAAGCAGAAGAAGTAGAATCACAATTCACTGATTCAGAAACCTGCGGCTCCAAGTCAAACAAGAGGTAAAGAAAGAGTTCTCAACAGATGAATGTTATCGAACAGACCGAGCACACGAACACGTACTCCCGATTCGTACTTTACAAGTAACAAACACGGTTGCATACACCGATGGAAACTCGTTGTTTACAGATTGCCCATATCACAAAACGACGAAAAACTTGCCGTAGAACACTGTAACGTCATTGCTTGATTTTAAAAATCGAGAGAGGTCAATGAAAATGACGTGCATCAATAAAAATCACACCCTATCCGGACAACTGAAAAAGCCCTTCAAGCTTCTGAGGAATTGGCCTGAAAGGAAAACATCTATGAAGCAAGTATCCTTGACGTGATAACCTCCAACCTCAAATACATACCCAGATCATATAAAACGAAAAAGATTCAGTCTTTTCGCCTCGATATTGTTAACGGGGCTCTTGCATATCGAGCATATTAGAGAGCGTGTACCTGATCCTGGAAACTGTTGGTCAAGGGAATCGCGCTTCAAGTCTGAAGTGGAACGCGATAGTTTTTGGAATGTCATAACACGTGTCCTAAACATTTTTGTCTTCTGTGAAACAGATATGCATGTGGCAGCGGTAGTTGGTAAACGCAATGACCGCACTAGAACCAGTGGAAGATAGCAAGCAGATAAATCAACTCATCCAATACACTAGATAGTCATAGGGAAATCCTATGGTGACATTCTAAAAATTTCTTTGGAAAAGTTTGAAATTTTATAACTTTTAAATAACTGAAATTCACCCATCAACACCTTTCTTTTTCAACACTACCAACTCTGCTCTGCATAATGCATTTCATTTGTCAATCCTTGGAACGCGCAGACCAACATTTGCTCACGCATAGGCAAAAAATAAGGTGATGTTCTGGTGATCTAACCTCTACTTACCTGCAATGGACACACCCGATGGTTTGAGCACCATCCTTTTAAATGAAGTTTCTTATGAAGCGAAAGCAACCAGCCATAATACAAACGATCATTGATTACCGGTTGAACTACATGCTTAGTACCTTTTCATAGCTTTTATTTTTTTTAATGAAACTATTCCACCAATTTTTACAACTTTACAACCACACGAAGCTGCCCTCATAATCAGAGCCGGAATCATGGGGCTCCCGCTCCGCTTTCCCCACCGCTAATATTTTCGTAGAATTTTAGTGCAAACAGAGAAAAGAAAAGCCGAAGATCTGATTTGATGGTTCCCAACTTCCCATCTTAATATGTTTATCTTCATTTGTGGTTTATTAGAGTCTGGAGTTGGGAACTTTTATCATAAGCTCCTTCCATAACTTATTGCTTTGCTTTTCTTTCAATCCCATCCAAATTAAATCCTCCTCTTGCCATCGTCTCCTTTACTACTTTTTTTCTCCTTTCACTTAGATTCTCAACTTGTAAACAATAATCCTCCGGACTTGATATCCATTTGTCATCCCATATCTTTAACATTTCTCCATTTCTATGATGCTTGACCAAACCTAGAAAGCTTTGTGATCTTTTTTTCGCCTCTAGAAAATTTGAGTCATGAAAGCAGATTCCTTTCAAGAATTCCTTATCCCAAAATTTTAGATTCCACTCTCTAACTTGAAAACATATTTTATACAGAATATTCTTCTGGAACCAGTTTCTGCTCATCATTTTTATAAGAATCTTAAACTCATCATATCTGAACCGTCTATGTCTTATTTTGATGGTTCAGATTTGATTTTCTTTTTATTTTTATTTATTCAAAATAATTATTTTAATATGTACAGAATCTAATATAGGGATTTTTTAGCTATTATTCTTTCAAAAAATAATTTTTTATTTAAAAATAATTAATTAATAATTTTAAATCTAAACCATTTAAATAAGATATAGACGGTCCAGATCTGATAAGCTTATAGTGCTGATGAAAGTAAGCACTAGTTCCTATTCTTCTTGTCTTCCTCTTCTTCTTTTATTTTTTTTTCCTAAAATGGGACAGTATTATTGAGCACCATTCTATTTCCTATGTATGCCAACTAATTTCCAACGCTCCGATTCCTTTCAAGAATTCCTTATCCCAAAATTTTAGATTCCACATTCTGACTTGAAAACATATTTGATACAGTATATTCTTCTTGTCTTCTTCTTCTTCTTTTTTTCCCCCCTCCTAAATCGGAGAGCATATTGAACATCATTCTATTTCCGATGTATGCCAACGAATTTCCAACGGTCCCTCTCATCGAATTGAGTCAAGTCGGTCAACAAGGGTCACAAATATTCATAAATCATCACAAATTATGTTATTTTCAATTAGCATGACCACGTTCTCTTAAAATTTTTCCCAAGTTATATTTTCTCTGCAGGAGAAGTACTTTTCTGATTCTTAATATAGGACCTAATTGTTAAGTTAGTTTTGGTTTTATATATGAGATCCATTTTTTCATATTTATCAATTTTTTCCAAATTACCCTTATGGATACTCCTTCAACCATAATCAAGTAGAAAAGAGAGATAGGTATTAAGAAAGATGATTATGGTATTTTAGAAAAAATGTATCACATTTTTTATAATTAACTAACTTACCTAGTATGTCACATTTCTTATAATTAACTATCTTACTTAATTTTTTTAATTTAATTAAATTAGTTAAATAGGTCTCATATTAAGAACGGAAAGAGTATCAATTTTTTTTCTGAGTGTATACCATATCATACGACAAATTTTAACATTGGAAGAATTACTATGAGATGATTCAGAATTTAATTACTAAAAAATCTTAACAAGGAGCATAAATGCTTTGTCATTTTTCACACAGTAACTTCCCTTGGAACTAACTAATTGCAATTCCTCCTTTCAATATCGCCCGTGTGAAAAATTTAGTCGTTTCTTGGATGCCAAATCGGGTAAATACATTTTCCCGTTCTCATAACAGGGAGGATGCCCGAAGTTGCAGTTTTTGCAGTATTGTTTGAAACGTGTCAATGTCTGCCAGAGTGCCACCTGACCCCAAAAGAGAGATCTCTGTGAAGAGAAGACTGAGAGCCCGTTTGGTTCAACTACACGACCATATTAAGCAATGCAATGCAATGCAGTAAATGGTAATGTAATCTTTATTACCATAAACATGTTTGGTAAGTTATAAAACTTAAAAGAATGATATGTATTATTTAAAATATAAAACACTGTGAAATTATAATTTTGCCCCTCTTGTAGAAAAAAAATCTTCTCTCTTCTTTGTTCAAACATTCCCTTCTTAAATTTTCATAAATTCATCAGATCTGAAAAATCAGTGAAGCTCCTTGGCAAATGCACAACTTTCTTCTGCCCATTCATCATCTTCTCCCTCCTTAGCCAAAACCAACTTCAACCAACTAAAATCAAAGAAACAAATAATGAACAATAGCAAGAGGGAATGCTGGAGAAGCTGTTGATGGAAAGGAAAGAACCAGCACCGTCTATGATGGTTGCTATGGTGGAAACTGAAAAGAAAGGGCTCCAAAATAAAATCAAAGTGGCTTCTGAATTAAAATACTATTGATGAAACTTGATTAAAACAAGCTGCGAGACTAAATAGAAAAAATTAGTTAAGATCTAGAAAAAAATTCAATCTAATGTTGCAGTGAAAAGGAATGACGGTGAAGGAGGGCAAGTGCGAGGGAAGGTAGAAGAAGAAGAACGATTGAGATGAGTTCACAAAGGAGTAGTTAAAGACAAACATCATTGGGCTCTATTGGCTTTGATTTGAGATTGGCTTTGCCAATATCTGATCTACAAAGGTATTGGATGAGGAAGGAGGAAGGTGGCAACGGTGTGGGTGAAGCACGGGAAGACAACGAGTAAGGGAGGTGAAAGGAAAAATGACAAGGGAAAGTAAATTGAAGGGCAAATGAGACTTTTTAAAATATGCAATAGGATGGTAACGAGTATTCACATGGGGGAGGTACGAATGGGTATTATCAAAATTTTGGTAATCTACATTACCATGGTAAATCCTATTACCACACTAAAAAGCAACCAAACATTCATATTACCAAACATTCATATTTTGGTGATGTAATCCTACTTACCATTGCATGTAATGGAATTGAACCAAACGGTCTGAGGAACAATATTGCGTTGGGATGGATCATGCACGTGTAACAAATAGCGAATACCGTAGAGCCACCTGAAGAGCCTGTGATCACCTGAAATGGCGGCCACTCCGCCGTCTCCGTCGTACTCGTTATCCTCAAATCCGAGCAGCTTCACCCACTTTTCCAAATCTCTTAAACCCATTTACTCTTTGGTCCTCCCTAAACCAGAACCAGTCAAAGCCTTCAAGAACAATCGCATCTGTAGGTGTGAGATCAGATGCTTCGAACCCCATCATAGCTGGACAATTGAGCACGTGTCGGAAATGAAGGATTCGATCCAGAGTAACTCCTCTTCTTCTTCGACGGTCTCAGTCTCTGCCGCTAATGTCGCTTCACAGAATCCCACGAGGAATTCCAAAAAGGTGTCTTTGTTTTACTGCGATGAAACGAAGACGCTGGCGCAGAAAATCGCCGCTGAGGTTGACGCCATTGAACTTCGGAACATCAGCTGGGGGTTGACTTTCTTTTTTATTTCGATTCATTTACGATACACCTACTTCTTAGTTTGTAATGAAATTTGAGTGAATTAGCTGGTCAATTTATGTCCATTAGGCCAAAAATGGCTCCAAGAGTTGTCCGTATAAGCTTCCTTGCTGGTTATAATTTTGTGCTGAATTTCGTATGTGTCAATTGGGGAACTTAAAAGAACCGTTAGGAGATATCTATAGATTCGTTTAGAAGGTTCAATGCCATTACTAATATTTCACCCGGTTGTCGCTGTCCCTAAGGAGAATTTGGGACGTACATTGGTGTGTTGAAGAGTATGGTTTACCATTGTCGATTTTAACTTATTCAGGAAAGTTATGTTTCCTTTGGTGCATTTCGGAGATTTTTAATTCACTGGAATTGTTATTGAAATGTTATTGTCTTCATTCTAGCTTGTTTACACTGTGCCTAGTGAGTTCGAGGGAGACTTTGTCACTGAAATACTCTTTATGGCTAACACATTTTAGGAAATTTCCTGATGGCTTCCCCAACATATTCATACCTAATGCCCAAGGCATTCGCGGACAGCATGTAGCTTTTCTGGCTTCATTTAGTTCACCAGCAGTAATTTTTGAACAGATCCCTGTCATATATGCATTACCGAAACTATTTGTTGCATCATTTACCCTTGTCCTTCCATTTTTCCCTACGGGCACTTCTGAGCGTATGGAGGATGAAGGAGATATTGCTACAGCGTTTACTTTGGCTAGGCTTTTATCAAACATACCGATTTCAAGAGGAGGACCCACTAGCTTAGTGACTTTCGACATTCACGCTCTGCAGGTTCATCATTCGTGTCTATTATTTGAAGAATGCTTTTTCTAAGTAATTATTGGATTGGCAATACCATACATTGTTCCTTATCTTTGTTCCTTGTTTTCTCACCAAAATCTTGACTATAGTCATTTGCTTATTTGTTGCAATACAGGAGAGGTTCTACTTTGGTGATAACATCTTACCATGCTTTGAGAGTGGCATACCGTTGCTTAAAAGAAGGCTTCAGGATCTCCCTGATTCTGATAATGTTAGACTTACACTTATATCCAGTTCTTTGTTTTCTGTGCTGTGTTTCCTGTACATGTTTAACTTTTCCCTGCATACTCTTCTATTGGAAAGTACTACTTATTACTGCCCATTGGCATCTGAAAGTAATAAAATTTCTTTCATGTTAGGCCAAGTTTGGTAGAAGAGAAAGCTGAGGGAAAGGGAATGCTGTTAAAAAACAATAGGCAATTGTTCGTGATCTTGTTATTATTGTTATTTAATAGTGCTTGTCCTTTTCTATTATTTTTCAAAATTGAGATCCCATTGTCGT